GAGGTTGGTTAGAGCGGGGCTGTTAGAACTTTCCAGCCAGGACAGGTTTCCGAGGAATGGAGAGGAGTAAACAGGATATACTGAGGGAGAGAGGAAGGAAAGCTCAAGGAACAAACGGCATGTCTAACTGTATTTGTATATACAAATTTCCGTTTCGATTTACATGCTATAAGTTACAGTACACATGCTAGAGGAGTAGCCTATTTGACTTGATATCATCTCAAGATGTTTTACTTACTCCACTTCAGAGGAATTGTTTTCCTCAACAACCATTAACCTTATCGTTTCACACCAGCCGGTGTAAATGAACTGGTTTGGGTTTTATTCAGTTAGGCACTTGATTTCAAGGAACTGAAATCAAGTTTCTGGAGACAAATGAATCACTTTTTTTAATTCAACTTTTACTTAAAACAGCCAACGACATTCTTTTTAGTGTAACTGGTCACAGCTAGGGTAATCTGTCCTTGTGAAAAGACAAAACACAGCCTTTAGCCATACATTTGAAATATAACCATTGCTGAAGATGTCAAACAACTTTAAAACCAAGTTTTAAGATACTGATTTTTAGCTTAACATCTAGGTGCATCAAAATGACTGTAATGCATTGTAAATTACCTTTTAAATACTGAAGTACAAGTTTTGGCTTACATATATTTTCTCTGTACTAGAGGGTCTTTGTTATATTATTTATTGGCTTTTTACTTCATAGGGCAGCACAGTACATTTTGGACATGCTAATATTATGGCATAGTTCTTAATGTATGATGTAAACGTATTTAGAGAAATTAATACTTCTATCCACGAAGAATGCATTAAATTCATCAAAAATTACAGTAAAGACATTTATAATGTTACAACAGATTTCTATTTTAAATAAATGCTGTATTTTCTAACTTTCTATTCTAAAACAGCAAATCAGCAGAATGATTTCTGAAGGATCACGTGACACTGAAGACTGGAGTAATGATGCTGAAAATTCAGCTTTTCATCACAGGAATAAATTGCATTTCAAAATATATCAAAACAGAAAATAGTGATTTTTAAATTGAAATATTTCACAATATTACTGTTTTTTTTTAATCAAATATGGTGAGAGTAAGATGCTTCTCTTTCAAAAGCATTTAAAAATCTCACAGCGATTGGATGAATGGTAGGTAGTGTATATCAAAGTACCATGTGATACTGCCATAATACAGTGTGCTGTGTTCTGTACCTGGGCTGTTTTGAAAAGCTCCAGATGGACAGCCATGGATCGGGCTGCTGAACAAAGAGGGCAGGCTGCTGTAATCGGCATCACTGCAGGGGAACATCAAACCCTCTTCAGTGTGGACCATATAACTGGAGTCAGTTGGGTAAGAGGGCATCACCTCTGATGATACCATGGAGGAGGAAACCCAGCGAGCCTGTTCAACGGAGGTCTCCATGTCTGTCAGGAACTTTTTACACACACATTTATATACATATATATATATTCTGCAGTAGCATGTTAAAGTGTAGTGCAATGAGGATTTTTTTTGCATGAAGTGTATCAGTTACAGTCTAAACTATTATTTGTTTCAATAACTGCAATAGAATATCTTCAGTTAAAAGCTGTAAGAGACCACATAGAAATACATTTCAGAAAAACATTATATCTTTGGAAATCAATCGCAATAACATTTATTATATGTGCACAAGACCATATTTACATTTCAAATCATATTCTCACAAAACCCATACTTTCACATAGCAAAGTGCATGACAAATCACAACAGCAATGACAGTCTCACCTGTCCATTTAACAGAAATTACATTTAGAATCAAATGACTCTAAAAACATGATAAGCATCACTTGCATTGTTTGCTTTGCTAATGCAGCTGTAGATATGGTAATGTAGATCTGATTGTAAAGTGGCATACCTGAGCTTATCTCTTCAGTCTTCAGGACAGGTGTCTGCGATGAAGATGAGCGCCGCTGATGGGGCAGAACTTTATGTGTGAAGGTTTCTGTGCTCTGGCATTGTGGGTGATTGAGGTTAGACATGTGGGGACAGTGGGCGGAGCCAAAGACAGGTCAGCTTCAGCAAAAGTGGTGCCTCATGAGTACAAATGCACAAAAAAGTCTGGAAATATCCCACATCAGTCTGCACTGCAAATGAGAATTACAAATATGCAAAGAGTAAAATTACCAAAATCAAATATCTGCTAAAACACACAGAAAGGTTTCTATGTGGAAGTTGAATCAAATATACATTTGAGTAAATTCTCAATTTTTTTCTTTATTATATATGTATATATATATATAAAATACAATATAGAGAAATTATTATATGAATTCTGCCATCATTTACTCACTCTCATGTCTTTCCAAATTTTGACAATCTCTGACAAGATATTTTAGCAATAAGATATTAGCAAATAACAGTATTTATTTTGATAAATGTGAACTATCCCTTTAACTAAACTTGCTATAAATTTGATGAATTATAACCAACATAAAAAAAATCTTGATAAAAGCCAAACCACTGATGGAACAAAAGGGAAAGTGGAGCCAATGATAGATGCAAAGTGCAGGTTAATATGTAACACAAGAGGGCAGTTGAGCGGATCGCACTAATGCAAATAGAGACAAATGCTGCAATCATTCTAAAGACATCCAGCCTGACCACATGCACACAGAGCAGGGCTGTGAAAGTCATTTGTTAATCAAAACGTACCGTTTTCTTTCCCATTGTTTGCTCAGTCAGAAGGGAAATTAGAGCGGTGAATGATGCTGTGTGTTAGAGAGTGTCTGTCATTCATCTAAAAAAATGTAAAGTATGACATTTTTAACAGACTACAACAGAACAAAAATCCTGGTTTGGAGTTGATGTGCCCTAACTGCACTATCATGTCTATGTTAATTGAAGATTGATTGAAGTTACAGTATTTGCCTCCACCTTTGAGGTTGTGTGAAATGATTCACCACTATGACTGAGTGGTTAAAGTAATTAAGTGAAATGAAAAGAAGTAATTCAGTAATTAAGTAAATAATCTAAGCTATAAAACAAGGACAGAACTGCTTCACGCACTATTAATAGAAACTAGTTGTTTGCATGTTCGGTGATAAGACTAGTTTCCTTCACAGCTTTTCAACAATGTAACGATCATTTGAAAGGTAGAATGTTTCCCTATTATTATTAACTATATAACAGGGGATGTACACTAATGCTCAGAAGTTTTAAGCTGGTAAGATGTTTTTACTCTTTTGAAAGAAGTCTCGGTAACACTTTATTTGAAGGTGTCCTTGTTACACGTTACATGTACTTACTATTGTAATAACAATAAATTATGCATAATTACATGCAAGCCAAACCATATAGTAAGTAGGCCTACATGTAGTTAATTATAATATTACTCAGCACTTAAATGTGTAATTACACTGTAACAAGGACACCTTCAAATAAAGTGTGGCCGAAGTCTCTTATGCTCACCAAGGCTGCATTTATTTGATCATAAATACAGTAAAAGCAGAAAAATTGTTAAATGTTGTTACTATTTAAAACAGCTGTTTTCTATTTGAATATATTTTAGAATGTAATTTATTCCCGTAATGAAATAGCTGAGTTTTCAGCATCATTACTCCAGTCTTCAGTGTCACACGATTCTTCAGAAATCATTCTAATATGCTGATTTGCTGCTCAAGAAACATTTCTTATTATTATCTTATTCTTATAATTATGTTGAAAAGAGTTGTGCTGTTTCATATTTTGTGGATACATCTGTTTCAGTTCAAAAGAACAGCATTTATCTGAAATAGAAATCTTTGTAACATTATAAATGTCTTCACTGTCACTTTTGATCAATTTAATGCATCCCTGCTGAATAAAAGTATTAATTTATTTGAAAAAAATCTAACTGACCCCAAATGTTTGAACGGTAGTGTATGATTTAAAACTAGTTACCTGGCGATGCAAAAACATGGTGCTCTGAAGAGTGTTGGCACTAAACTACATGACCAAACCTGTTCTGGTACATCCGTTACCATATAAAGCTGGGCCTAACTGAATAAAACCCAAACCAGTTCATTTACACCGGCTGGTGTGAAACGATAAGGTTAATGGTTGTTGAGGAAAAAGGAAGAATACTTTTTTTTCCATTCTCATTTTACAATTCCTCTGAAGTGGAGTAAGTAAAACAGCTTGAGATGATATCAAGTCAAATAGGCTACTCCTCTAGCATGTGTACTGTAACTTATTGCATATAAATCGAAACGGAAATATGTATAAACAAATACAGTTAGACATGCCATTTGAAAGTTCACTAAAACTATGATCAGCAAAACTGAAACATTATATAACCTATTCCTGTATAATAGAGCATTATAAAAAATGATCTGAATATTTTATTTCTTTTGTCATCATCAACAAATGACAAATCATGCTTTGGTAAATCATTATAAGTCAAAATTATGACAAATGTTTTGACTTTATGTCATAATTATGACTCATACTTTTGACTTTCATCTCATAAATATGACAATATCTTAGTATGTCATAATTTTCATCCCATAATTGATTATTTCTTTAAAAAAAATCTTCATTAGAAATTTAAACACCTATCACAAAAAAGTAAATCTAGGCCATTTGAAAGTTTACTAAAAGTATACTCAGCAAAATGGAAACACTATATAACCTGTATAATAGAGCATTATAATAAATTATTTGCACATTTATTTTATTTAATTTCATCCTCAAGAAATGACAAATCATGCTTTGGTAAATCATAATGACAAAAACAAATCATAATTGTGACAAATGTTTGGACTTTTTGTCATAATTATGACTTTTTGCGTATTGATTATTAATAATCGATAATTTATTGAAAATATTTTATGAAATTTAAACACATATAACAGAAAAATAAAGCTAGACATGTTCACTAAAAGTATATTCAGCAAAATTGAAACATTATATAGCCTATTCCTGTATAACATATAATTTAAACATGTTATTTCTTTTTTCATTGTCCTTAAAAAATGAAATAAATGTGTATGACTTAATGGGCCACTTCCTGGTGTGAAACAAAGTACAAAGCCCTACATTTCTGCTCATACCGCTGTCATAAACAGCTCCGCGCATGTCTCTGGATCAGACTGGGGTCCACCAAGCTCTCGTGTAAAGGTCGATCCACTGTGAATTCATAAGGGGGTTGCATGCGCTGTCTGGAGTGCTTTCCTCCACGCTGAGGGATGGGCAGCTCTGAGTGATGAACCGGGAGAGGGTCTGTGAAGAAATACGGATGGAGCAAAGCCTGAGGAGAGAGACGGGGCATTATGAGTCTCATTCGATGTACATGACTGAATGAACCTGCACAGAACTTCAAATGTGCACCTGTCTAGCACTGATCCTCTGTTTGGACTGATAGACGAGGAACTTCTTCAGCAGGTCCACAGCTTGCGGTGACGTGTCAGGCACGATCTCCTCCAAAGGAATGGGGGGGTTTTCTTTAAACGTGATCTTATTGTAGTCTGGTAGTTCTGTTATTTCCTAGATTGAATCATCATAGGCAAAACATTCACACACAGTTCACCCATTGTGTGTCATGTTGCTCTAATCTAAACTTAATGATGAACAGGCATAGCGAATGTAAATGAGAGCTCACTGGCCAAACTTTGTGGTTGGGAGTTCCCAGCACTCGTAACACACAGCACAACTGCTCAATGTCATTCTCCCCGGGGAAAAGTGGAGAGTTGTTCAACAGCTCCCCAAAAATACAGCCCACTGCCCTGAAACAAGCCAGAAGAGACACACAGAGACACCTGATGAGCGTAGAATAGGCACTACTGCCATCTAGTGGACACTTGAGGAAAGAGAACGTTCACAAAATGAACTACTAGCAAGTACCTAAATATTTGCCTTGATGCTCATTTGAATACGATTTGTACTCATAATATTATGAAATCTGACACAATTTAGTTTGATTTAATTATTTTGGTACAATTCATCTGAAATAATTTCCAAAAAAAGACTCAGTAATTCCATAATACATTGGATTATTCTTAGAGAAATTATAATTCATTGTAAAATAGATAGAAATAGATAAAACTGATAGTTGATAGTTCATTTATAATAAACAATGAAATATTACATTAAAAAAGTTGGTGACTGGAAAAATGATTCCACAATTCCTTACCAGAGATCAACTCCTTCATCATATTTCCGGGCACCATACAAAAGTTCTGGCGCTCTGTACCATCTGAAACACAGCACAACAAATATTTTTAGTCATATGTGACCCTGGACCACAAAACCAGTCATAAGGGTCTTTTTTTTATTTATTGAGATTTATACTCAATATCTGAAAAGCTGAATAAATAAGCGTTCCATTTATGTATGGTTTGTTAAGATAGGACAACATTTGGCCGAGATACAACTATTTGAAAACATGCAATCTGACGGTGCAAAAAAAAAATCAAAATATTGCGAAAATCGCCTTTAAAGTTGTCCAAATGAAGTGCTTAGCAATGCATATTACTAATCAATAGTTAAGTTTTGATATATTTACGGTAGGAAATTCACAAAATATCTTCATAGAAACCTGGGCTTCCATACCACCTCAGCAGTGCCACAAACTGATCACCTCCATGCCACGCCGAATTGAGGCAGTAATTAAAGCAAAAGGAGCCCCTACCAAGTATTGAGTACATGTACAGTAAATGAACATACTTTCCAGAAGGCCAACAATTCACTAAAAATGTTTTTTTTATTGGTCTTATGAAGTATTCTAATTTGTTGAGATAGTGAATTGGTGGGTTTTGTTAAATGTGAGCCAAAATCATCACAATTAAAAGAACCAAAGACTTAAACTACTTCAGTCTGTGTGCATTGAATTTATTTAATACACGAGTTTCACAATTTGAGTTGAATTACTGAAATAAATGAACTTTTCCATGACATTCTAATTTATTGAGATGCACCTGTATGTTGTAGCTGAAACTCACTGTTAGGACCAATGGAGCTCAATGCTAGCATGACAGAAGCTCTAGTAAATGATCACCTGGTGGCCACCTGGTGACTGTACAGACGATCTCCTTCATTGGAAAAGAGCCTGGCCAGACCGAAGTCAGCGATCTTCAGGTGACCCGTCGAGCTGATTAGAAGGTTTGCAGGCTTCAGATCCTACACACAAATACATGTGAAGCACATATATAGGACAGATCACAGTGAAGGAAAAATGTAATGGCATCAGGAACACAGTCTCACCCGGTGCATGATGGAGTTCTCGTGGCAGAAAGCCACTCCTTTCAGCAGCATCATCATGTAACCTTTGACCTGGGATGCGGTGAGAGGACGCTGGGAATTCCGAATGACTTCTGACAGATCTGACAACATGTACTCAAACACCAGCACAAAGCCTGTGCCGTGGGGGAAGACGTCCTTCAGCTTCACCACCTATGGAGATGATCAAAATATGAATAAAATAATGAGATCAAATAATGAAACTATAAATCAAATAGTAAATCAAAATGGCACAAAAAGTCACAATTATGACAAAAAGTTGAAATGATGACATAAAAAGTCATAACCGTGACAAAAGATTTGACTTTTTGTTATAGTTATGACTTTTTATAATTTCAACCTTCTGTTATAGTTTTGACTTTCATCTTATAAATATGACTTTCTGTCATTATGACATAGTATGTCACAATTTCAACTTTTTATCAATGACTTTTCATCATTTCACCTTAGTATGTTTTTTTTTTTTTTCTTTTCTCATAATTTACTGTCGTGATGACTTAGTATGTCATAATTTTGACTTTTCATCTCGTACATTTTTTAATGTCATAATTATGCCATGGTATGTCATAGTTAAGACCGATAATTCTTATGTTATAATATTGACTTTCATCTCATAAAATATCATATAATAAATAACAAAATGTCATATATGTCACCTCATAAATGACTGACATGACTTAGTATGTCATAATTTTAACTTTTCATCTCATAAATATGACTCATAATTTCAACGTTTTATAATGTTAACTTTTTATCTCAACATAATTACAACTTATGTCATATTGTTTTGACTTTTATCTCATAAATAACAATAACAATAATTTTGCCATAATTTTCATTTCATAAATCATAACTTTAATTTTATAAATCATAACTTTCATCTCATAAATGAGTTAGTATGTCAATTTCAACATTTCATCTTATAATTATAACTTTTCAAGTCACGATTATGACTTCATATCTCACAATTGACTGTCATAATTTAGGCTTTTGATCTCATAATCATAATGACTTAGTATGTCATAATTTTGACTTTTCATCTCTAAGTTCTAAACCTTTTGTCATTTTTTTTGACTTTCATTTCACATTTTTGCCATAATTATGACTTAGTTTACCATAATTTTCATTCCATCTCCAAAGTATGACTTAGTATATCAGAATTTCCAAAAACATTTTTATTATGTGAAGCAAGTGGGCTTCCCTATTCATAGAATGTGAGTTGCATAGATATAGAGTTACTTCAAGTTCTAAGCAAAAGAGATTATCTTGACGTTGTAAATCTTAAGTGGTCAGTATCTCTCACATATTGGTTGTCCTCAATCTCTTGCAGGGCTTTGATTTCTCGTAGGGCCTGGTTTGGAATTCCATCTTCAAGTCTTCGCAGAGCTACTTTTTTCAAAGCCACCGTCTCTCCTGTCTGAAAATACAGATAACGCAGTGTTCAGCTTTTATAACTAAGCTATTGTCATTTACACAGGATTAATATAGATAACCGAAAACAGTCCAGTCGTACCTCGATGTGTCTGGCTTTGAAAACAATTCCGTGAGCTCCTTCCCCAATCCTGCCCAGAATACTGTACTGATCCATTCCACTACCACACTAACGTTAGCGGGCTAGCGAAGCAGAAATGTCTCTTTGATTCCCATTCACGCACTGCCAAGTATTTAGCAAAGCAACTGTGTAAAACTGTTAATAAAATATTAAAATAAAACGAGGAAAACAATTGCTAGCAAAACGATCGTTTCGAAGTGATTGTCTGTGGTAAAGATCCGATGATGCTCCGCTGAGGCGAATAGCAGTTGCCATGGAGATCGTTTCTGTACGGCAAGCGAACGAAGACAAAATTCTTTTTAAAACGACCACGTATTGATTTACTCTAGTAAACCACATTAATAAAAACGGATAAACAATATTTTTCTAACAAAAACGGAAAGATTATTTCCAACCATTTAAATTTATGTATTATTGGAATAATTTGTTTAGTTTTTTCAACGGCTCTGGTATGAAAAAAAAGGGATATGTCAGTTGGCAGCTGTTACTTTTCTCAGCGCTGGTCTGGACGGACCAATCGTAGTCGATTGCGCTTACTGTACACTCACACACACACACTCACACACACACACACACACACACACACACACACACACACACACACACATA